GGAGCTGGCTGTGGGAGCCCAGGAAGAGGGGAGAACTGGCCGCGGGAAGCAGGGCTAGTTGGGGGGTGCAGCAAGGCTGGCAAGGGAAGATCCAGAGCAGGAACCGGCCAGCGGGACACAGAGCTGGCGGAGGAAACAGGGGAGCGAATAAGCCGGCGGGGAGATTGGCCTTGACTTGGGCTGTGAAGATCCTAGGGCGCTCCTGTCCCACACAAGTCAGTCTGGCTGCAGCTCCACCACGCGCTTGACCAGCGTGCAAGAACATGGACTGGGCTGCCCCTCCTCCTCACACGCAACCAGCGTTTCCAGCACCGATCGCGCCCCGCCTCCCAGTCACTCCCTCCACCCCCACCAGGCTTCCGTCTGGCACCCATCCGGAAAACCAGGAAATACTGGACATTGCACATGTCGTATTTTCTGGATCTTTTTTTTTTTTTTTTTTTTACCAGAGGGCCCAAAAACTGGACTGTCTGGTAGAAAACCAAACACCTGGCAACCCTATACTAGGCCCTCCTGGCAGCCGGGGGGAGAGCCAGGGCTGCCTACCCCCAGAGATAGGGGGATTGGTGAACATAGTGAGCAGGGAGCACCGCCCCTTAGTTGTTTTTAAAAAAAATCAAACAACACAGGAAAGGACAGGGATCCCTAAATTGTGCTCTTCCAGGGAGACGATCACTAGTAGGAAGGGGAGGAATTTAAAGCAGGAAAATAAAGCCTTTTCTAAAGGTGTATAATTAAAGTTTCAACCACTTTCCAGCCAACTTTTCCTAGGCTGTAGATCCTGGATCTTGGAAGGGTGCCATTGTGCGGGTAATTCTACAGAATTGTATGGACAATTCCACAGAAAGAAGCTAGATGGAACTGATACTGAATTGAAGAAGTCTTGGAGTTCGCCCCACCATTATAAATGCATTATACATATCCGTGTTTTTCATGATTGTGACGGCATATTAAAACAAAGATAGCCGTGTAAGAACAATGCAAAACCAACCAGGAGAAAAGGATAGAAGTGGTTATTGTAGTAGAAAAATAAAAAATACTTCAGGAGAAATACATTTAAGGAGTACAGAAACTGCTAAATACAGTACCTACATTAGGTGGGGTCAAATCTGCATTTCATGAAGCAAAATAGCAAAGTATTATAAAATATGAGTCAGATTATGACAGCCATAAATGACAAAACTATAAAGAAATGGTTATTTTATCTTTTATATAACAATACTAGTAGGGACTAATATTAGTGTGAATGCTGCTCATACTGCAGAACAAAACACTACAAATAATGCCGTCTGTCTGAAATATAGTTGTTATTTTGATTATATAAATGTATGTCACTGTATAGTTATAACATAGATAGGGAAGAGACTTGTATCCTTGCCATGATATAGATAACAGAATTAGGACTCTCCCACCCTAACATGGATATTATAGGGTTGTGAGTTAAAGTTGCTCGACACTTTCCATTAAGATCCTGTATTCAGTAGTTGATAATTTTTCAAAATTTTAACGGCTAAGGATGAAATTTTCCTTGCCAGATTTCTTGCTTGGTATAAATATTTTTGTAAAGTTTCAGCAAAATGACTGAACTGTTTCCATATTTAAAAAATTGGTATAAACCATTTCAATGAGAAGCTCTAGCATCTCCATGTTTTGATACAGAGACTTGAAATTTGGCAGAGCTGTTACATTATCATGAGGGATGTACCTTTTGCCAACCATGTGAAAATCTATCTGATTTGGCCAACTTTATAGTTTCTGAAAACTACAGCTCATTAGACATTTCTTAGCATTTGGCAGCATTATTTTCTGAAGATTCTGACATAACTGAGCATATTCCATCCCCACAAAACTCCTACATGCCAACTGTACTGAGCATGCACCTTCCCCACAAAATGACCAAGCATGTTGCATCCCAACTATTCAGAGAAACAAAAGGACATGTCCCGTAACTGTTCCTTCTCAGTGTCAAAGATAGCTGTGGTGCCAGACACAAGAACTGAGAAGAGGAACCTGTATCTCTTATGCTTTCAGTGCCTCTAATTGTTGCCCACCAGACAGTCTGGAGAAGAAAGAAGCAGCAATCTAACTTGCTGGAGAGCAGAGGGTGAGAAGTGGGGACAGGCAGAGAGAGGCAGCCAGAGAGACAGAAGGACAGACTAAAAAATCCAGGTTGTGGGAGCGAGGAGAAATGAAGGACAGAGACAGGCTAGACACAATGGAAGGGACTGGTTGTGGGAAAACAGAGCAGAGAGAGAAGGATAGGAGGGGCAGGCTGGAGGAGACAGGACAAAAGGGTCTGACTGTAACCACTAGAGTGCACCCCCATTCAGAATCAGGAATATAAAACTCAGTATTCTTGAGCCTCAGTGCTCCTCTCCGGTCAGCAATAGTTTTGCTACTTTTGTATATAAATTATATACAATATTAATATTAGAGATGGACCTGAATTTGCACATCCCCAAACTTTGGGGAAGTATAGATACAAATCCGGCCCAAAATTTCCCAGTTGACACCTATCAATAGATGAAATCAAAACCCCAGATCTTGACAGCCTCACATTAAGGGCTATTTAAAATACACATATTAACCTCTACAATTAGGAAGTTGCCTCCTGCCTATAACGATATAAGACTGAGGTATAGCAGAATGTGGTTTAATATCCATCGACTTCATATCGTGTTACAGATAGTGGCAAGGAAGGGGAGGAGAGTGGCGTTATATGACCAACTTATAGGCAAAATTCATTACTGAGTTCTTTTTGCTGATTTTTAGCATGATTTTTTTCATGTTAAATACATTTCTTAATCATTTGGCATTTTGGGCCTTATTTTTCTCTTGGGGACAAGCAACCATCTCGAAAGAACTTTAATAGCAGCTCTTGGTCCTTCATGTTTAAAAGTGCTGGTCAAGTAAATTGAATTCTGTTTGTGATATGAAAGGGACACTAGGACAAAAATTTAAGAACACAACTGCCTTTTCTCTGCCCTTTTAAAAGAATAGTTGCAGTTCTGCCACATCTATTACCCTGTTCTTAAAAAAATGTACAGGTATATGCAATGAAATATTTGTATTAAAAAGTGTGCAATACAATACCCACTGAATAAACCCATCTTGGCATGTCATCCAGGTAATGGCTATAGAGGAAGACATATGCCCTTCTTCCCAACCAAAGTATAAACAGCATGTTCATGGTAATCTGATAGAAAAGGGGGAGGGGGGAGGTCTAAGGAACACATGGGGAAGGGAGAATTCTGTGCTCAACAACTGAAGTAGTTGAAGGTTATTCAGGAATCGGCGTTTATCTACAATATAGAGCCTTTGCTCCAATAGCTATGCTGGTACAGCAACATCAGCAACACCACCTAATGAAGCAGACAGTGACAAAAGGAGTTTGCTGGCAGTTACACCACCCCCCTGAATTATATTAACTATGTGGATATCAGCATTCTTTTGTCAGAATTGTTGCATCTACACCAGAGTGGCATAGCTATATTGGCTGAGGTGGGACTGTTTTACACTCCCACCCAACACAGCTATACTAGCAACACTTGATAGTGTTCACTAAGGGTGCGTCTACACAGCACCCTACACTCAAAATAAGATACATAATTTGTGTAGCACAAATTATGTATCTTACCTCGAATCTATTTGGATGTAGCGTATTTTGAAATTTGGCATGTCTACACAGCACCAAATTTTGAAATAATGCACTATTTTGAGCCATCCCTTATCCCTTGTGCAATGAGGTTTATCAGGATGGCAAAATAGCGTGCCCATTATTTCAAAAATATTTTGAAATAACGGGCGGCTTGTGTACACATGGGGAAGCTATTATACCTCTGGATATGGTAGACGTACTCTAAGTGTCAGTCTTTTTTGAGGGTCAGCACAAGTGAGGGAAACCCCACACATTCTGATATCTAGAATGAGAGAGGTTCCTTCAACAAGCTAATACTTGAAAAACTAACTGTAGTTTTATATATTAGTACATAGGCACAGTCACATGGGGATACTATCAGACAATCCAGTCAGAAGACATAATTTGTATATGTTATACCCACTCTCCAGTGCTCTTATTTCTCTATGCTCACCACTAGTACAGGTTGAAAGAGCTTACCTTCTAGTAAATTGAGGTCATACATAGAACTGTCAGGCTTGTGCAGGGCTGGGTATGTATTAAAGAGATTTGCAACAAAAGCCAAGTTAAGTTTAGGGTTGCCTGCAACTACATCAGCTGGAGTAACAAACTGTCTGCAGCCCAGTTTGTCTGCCTGCTGAAGCATATATTCAGCCCTCTTCAAGTCATTCTTTTCCTAGAAAAGAAGTAAAAAACATCTTTAATGAACATTGGCTCGTAACTTTTTTTGCTTCACTCGACTCGTATCTTAATTATACAATAATAAAACATTAGGCCCAGCATATAATGTGTGGATGTAGACCTTGTTCAGAACCAGAGTATTAGTGTGGACCTTTTTCCATCGGGAAACCTTTTTTCTTCTAGAACATAACCAAACACTTGCTGAATCATCTTAATTGCCATCAAGTTATTTAACATAATCTTACAATCAAAAAAATTATGTCATTAGTTAGTGAGCAGTTTATGTATCTTCTAGGAAGGGTTTGTGTTGATTTGTATTATTCATTTACCTAGAACAATTAGGGCTACTCAGTCCACATCATTTGCAGTATGTACATATAGCTTCAACAGTTACTGCTTATCTTTTGCTTGGATCACAGCCAATAAATATCCATATAGCCATGTAGGCTGGGTAAGACTCTGGAAAGCCATAGCTGTCACCCAGAAGTCAAAAGAAAGAACAGGTTGCTCCATCAGAGAGCTTTGGCATAGTCTTAAAAACCTCTGGTCAGAAAGGAATGGGACAAGAATTCCTGCTCTGACACAGGTGTTAGCTGGAGAACTGAGACATAACTTGGTGCCAGCTGGACCATGGGCACTGGGGGAAAATACAGGTACAGTTCCCCAAAAAATGTGACAGGCACGTAGGCATATTTCAACAGTATCCTGAAACAGTACTCTTCTTGCAGAGTTCAAAGCTTTTTCATGGTGCAGGAATCTGATCATGCTCATGTCTGCACTACAAAATGGAACTGTGTTTTGGGACAACAGTAGTGTATTCAAGTTCCTGGATATGTGTGTCTGTTAAATAAACATAGGTATCCTTTTGACATGAGAACTTGAAAGAGAGAACATGACATATGAGAGAAGGCTAAAAGAATGGGGCTTGTTTAGTTTGGAAAGGAGAAGACTGAGAGGAGACATGATAGTGGTTTTCAGGTATCTAAAAGGGTGTCACAAGGAGAAGGGAGAAAAAAATGTTCTCCTTGACCTTTGAAGGTAGGGCAAGAAGCAATGGGTTTAAACTGCAGGAGGGGAGGTTTAGGTTGGACATTAGGAAAAACTTCCTAACTGTCAGGGTGGTTAAGCACTGGAATAAATTGCCTAGGGATGTTGTGGAATCTTCATCACTGGAGATATTTAAGAGCAGGTTAGATAGACATCTATCAGGGATGGTCTAGTACTGGGTCCTGCCGTGAAGGCAGGGCACTGGACTCGACCTCTCAAGGTCCCTTCCCGTTCTAGTGTTCTATGATTCTATGACACTCAGAATACTTACATTAAACCCTGAAAGGTCAATGTTAATGGGAACCTCATCATCTTTGCCTCCTTTAGGTGCAATCTGATTTAGCAGATGGTAATAGGCTCTTGAATCCTAAAACAAGTAATACAAAAGTAAGAAATAAACAAATATTTACTCCTTTGGGGTATAGAATACTGCAATTAGGCTGTGATGCAAAGATCATTGAACTCACACTGATTTCAATGGATTGTGGATCAGGCCATTGCTCAAGATCTACTTATTCAAGAGGGCCACTTCACATAGAAACAGTTTAGCCAAATGACAGTGAATAAGAATGACTGCTGTTTAATCATGATAGAATAAAATTCTTCTCATTGGGAATGCACTAGCCAGTTCTAAAAAGAGTGTTGAATAGGAGTAAAATTCTAGCACTTGTCTTTTTATTATTTTTATGAAAACAAAAATTACTAAATACATTAAGTAAAAATGAAGTGATGTGAGTCTCATTTTTGTTGTTCAGTACAATATTTCAGTAACTTAAACGTCTTACAGGTACTGTCCTATCACAAGCCACCGCCCTTAAAGGGGAGCTCAGGGCAGGAGATGGGGGGAGGGGTTTGCAATACAACAGTACCTGTAAGAAATTTCAGTGTTAGGAATGGGGCTCAAGGCAGAAGGCTGAAGTGTGTGGGGGAGGGGGGCAGGGGAGAGAGTGCAGGAAAGAGGCCAGGAGGCTGGGGCGGTCTGTGTGTGTGGGGGGGAGGGCAGGAGTCAGGGCTAGAGTGTATGAGGGGCTCAAGGCAGAGGGTTGACGTGTGGGGGTGAAGGACTTCAAAGCTGCCCTGCCAGCCCTGTGCACCTGGAGTCTTGGCTGCCTGTCCCACACCCCTGGGGCTCTCCCAGTGGCCCTGTGCCAGGGTCACGGCTGCTAGCCCCACACCACACACCAGTGCTATCCTGCTGTGAGCCTTGTGCGGCATCGCACCAGGAGCTGTCCTTCCGCTGACTCCACACCACACCTGGGGGTCCTGGCTGCTTGTGCTATGCGCTGGGGTTCCAGCTGCTGGCTCATGCCAGGCATCAGGGTTGTCCTGTCACTGGCCCCACATCACCCCTGTCCTGCTGCCAGCCCTGCACACTGGGTTACCAGCTGCCAAACTCAACTTCGAGGGAGGGAGGAGGTCAGAATTAGGATCAGCTGGCCACTGTCTTACTGGTGCACCACACCAGGTGCACTAGCTTACTTTCATCTTTGATTATGAGTCTTTCCAAACAGCTTGATTTTTTCAGATGGCCTCTTCATTCAATAAATCAATAAACGTGGACAACAGACTGTGGACCAAAACGCCCCAGTTAAAAGAAATCAGACTCAATTTATCATGAATTCTATGTATTAGATGCAATGTTCAAAACCTGTTTTTGACTTCCCTGTTCTTAAAATTAAAAAAGGCAGAGAGATAAACCGGTCCTCATTAAAACAGCTAATATTAGAAATGTTTAATACTAATCCAATATATTCAAGACATTTTGATTAGATGTATACTTGTTTATTAAAAGAAAGCTAGTTATTTTCTTTGTTGATAGTCTCTTCCCTGGTATTTCATGCAGAATAAAGAAATAACTACAAAGTTATCTTTAACGGTTATTCCGAAATTAGTGGAGGGAAGATATTCAATGGAGTCACATCATTTATTTCCCACAAAACACAGCCCCTTCACTTTTTATTTTAAAAGTGCTGCAGTCTCTTATTGGACTTAATGCAATTCTGAGCACACTTTATGTACTGCATGGCTGATTGCAGAGAAAGGAGAAGGATACATCCATTAGCTACCATAGCAGAGCCAGGCTGTGTTTCAGCCCCATGAAGTTAGTGAACTGAATCAGCAGCAAGGCACTAATATGTCTCCTATGTTGAAGGATTAATTGGGACTGTAACCGAGAGGGAATGGCCAAAAGGCACACCATATGTCATCTTTTACCCTTTGGTAGTGGTCTCTTGACACTCTGAGCTGTGGCAGAAAAGGGGCAATTACCTATTGTTACAGATAAACTAGGTCAGTGGTCTCCAACCTTTTTACACCCAAGATCACTTTTTAAATGACAGAACAAGCCAAGATCTACATCCTCACCCCTTTTCGAAGCCCTGCCCCTTCCTCTCTATTCTCCTCTCCATCATTTGCTATCCCCAACCCTTATATTGCTGCTTTTTTCCCCAATTCTTCTGTAGGAAGAGGTTTTTCCAACATTTGGCCTGTCTAGACTGGACCAAATGTCAGAAAAACCCCTTCTTTTGGAAGCCTCTTATTCCTTGTGGAAAGAGGAATATAAGGGTGACCGAAAGAGCACGTTTGCTCTTCCACTAAAAAAAGTGGAAGAACAAACACATCCCTAGATGCAGAAGAGTTTTCTGGGATATCTCTGGAATCCTGAAAAACTCCTGCAGTCTAGCCTTACCCTCGCTGGGTTGAAGCAGGATGTGTAGGCTCTGGGGTGGGAATGAGGGATTTGGGTGTGGGAAGGGGTGAGAAGTGCAAGCTCTGGGAGGAAATCTGGATGAGGAGGAGGTGGAGAAAGGGACGCTGGCTCGGGGAGGGGGCTCCAGGCCAGGCAGTGTTGGGGGCAGATGTAGGGTTGGGGGACTAAGCTGGGGGGAATAAAAAAGCCACAAGCTTGTGCGTATGAGGGTGCAGAAATTTGGGTCGGGGTATGTGAAGGGCTCAGGGCAGGGGGTTTCAGTGTATGATAGGTTCAGATCTAGGGTCTGAGGGAAGAGGGAGAGCAGGATGGCCAGGCTTCATTTTTAAATAAAATACTGTGTCAAACACAAAACGTTTCTGCATTGTCTTTATATATGAGAAGGGCAGGGAACCTGTTTTGAGTCAGGGGTCACTGACCCACAGAAAAGTCAGTTGGTGCCACACAAGTGAGATGCAAAATAAAAACTCCTCCAAAACCCCCACAAACCTCACTAATGTGGCCCCAACTGTGCTGGTGGGGGCAGGGGGCATGGTATTGGGGAAGGGTGCCAGGGAGTACCGGGACAGGGTGCTGGGTAGGGTACCAATGGGTTTTGGGACAGGGTGCTTGTAGGTGCTGGGACAGGAGACTGGGTGCTGGGACGGGGCCAGTGGGTGCTGGGGCAAGGGCCTTGGGCAAAGGTCAGGGTGCCGGTGGGTGGTGGGGCAGGGTACTTTTGGGGGTTTGGGCAGGGGGAGGAGACAGGGACCAGTACCTGAGGATCCTGCAGCTGCCGGCCATGGCCCAGGAACTGAGTGGGCTGCTCCCCCAACCCTAAACAGTAGCATGGTACCTGAAACACTGGTTCGTTGTGTAGCCTGATGCCTTCCTGTGCGGGCTGGGAATGGGGGAGATGGGGAGTCCCGGACCGCACCAGCTCCAGCTGGCACGCTGGAGACTATTCCCCTCTGTCTTAGGGAGTGGGGAGGGGGAGGGGAAGAGTCCCAGACCACACCTGCCCCAACCTAAAATGCCGGTCCGTTGTGTGCTGGGGACTTTGTTTCCCTGCTGCCTTTCTGCGTGCGGGGAAGGGGTTGGGTATCCAGGACTGCGCCAGCTCTGGCTGCTCAGGCAGTGCATGCTGCTGCGAGGAGGGGAGGAGTAAGGCGCAAGCTTCTCGAGCGGTTGCGGTTGGCGTGAACTGGGACTTCCCCCTCCTCCACAGGCAGGCAGCAGAGGAATAAAGAACCCAGCACGCCGGCTCCAGCTACTCGGGCAGTGGGAACAAGGAATCTCCCCTCCCCATGGCAGCACGCGCTGCCTGAGCAGCCAGAGCCAGTGCAGTTCCGGACACCCAGGAAGGCAGCATGGGAACAAAGTCCCCAGCGCGCGCGCAACGGACCATCATTTTAGGTACCGCGCCGGCTGTTCAGGGGGGAGGAAGAGCAGCCCGCGCACTTCTGGGACCTGGTGCACGGCTGCAGAACACTTCCCACCCTGCTGGAAGCCTGTGCTACCTCCGTTGTTCCTGGAGGTAGAATAAGCATGACATTCATCTTGGAGGGGTGGGGGCAGTAAGGGGGGGCCCCAAAAGCTTCGTGATCAACTGGTCGGGCCCCCAAGATCGACCAGTAGATCGTGATTGACATGTTGGTCGTGATTGACCACGGAACTAGGTGATGGCTGAAAGACACATTCTCTTCCCCAAAAGATAACAAAGGCAAGAGAGACCTTATGGCCGTGGTCTCTAACCTTTTTAAACACAAGATCACTTTTTTAATGTAAGTCAGTCCAAGATCTACCTCAAACCCAAATACGCCTTCCCCTTCTCCAGGGCCCTGCCTCTGCTCCACCCCTTCGCCAAGACCCCACCCTCCTCACACTGTAAAGATGGGGTACAGGAGAGGGGGACAGAGTAACATCAGTCCCCCCCTGCCTCTGTCTCTCCCACCCTGCACAATAAGCAGGAAGCTCCCAGGAGGCAGCGCTGAGGCTCTGGGCAGGAGCAGCAGGACCGTGGGGGTGGGGCAGCCGAAGCACTGGCACTGAAAGCCTCCCAGCTAAACCAGTCAGGATCACCTGTCAGAGGCTCCAAGATCTACCAGTAGATCCTGAACATCCTGATCTACTGGCTGGTGACCACTGCCTTATGGGAAGGGTTAAAGGGAAAGATGTAAAGTTGGGGAGGGGAAGGAAGAGGAATGTGCAATTCAATCCATACAGTTCTAATTACAATCTGGAATTTTCTATTTCCTCAATAAGGGCTGCTATGTGAAAGGTGTTTGGTTTGGTTGCATATCCTTAGTTGATACATAGCACCAGCCACTGAACAGCATAAACGTGCTGTTCAAAAGAATATGCAATGTTAGGAGACATTTGGTGAGAAGGTACCTATAACAAGCAGATCACCAATTCTGATCTCAATCTTTTATTTGTTTACATTTTGGCATGACTGTATTCTCTTATTAGACTGACAACTATATACCTTAATGTCTTGACTGAAGTTACTGATTTTCTGCCATCCTGCATTGGCCAGATGATAGTTCACCCAACGTAGCAAGAGCTCTTCTGGGGAAAGTTTCAGTAGCTGCTCTAGTTCTTCCCCTTCATTTAGCAAAGCAATAAGAGCTAAAAGCAAATGTGAGAGAAAGCTAAGTTGTATTACTGTTATGGTCACAAAACATTTAATCCCAAATTGACTATCACATAACACCAGATAAGTATACTTTTATATGTGCCTAGGAAGCTTAAATCAGTGCCAACGATTCCATCAGGGATGAGGTTAAAAGAAGATGTACATTAGTCACAAGTATCACATAGAAATTGATGAAATTATATATTGATAAAAACATTACAGTTATAAAGTGAAAGTATCAAACCATGCACTAACAGTATAACTATGATCTGATAACAACTGCATTAAATGGATACCAAGAAGCTACAGGCAGTAGAAATCAGAGTTCTTTGAAAGATGGCAGGTGTAAAGTGGAATGATTTTAAGACAAATGAAGATGTTACAATGGGGGAGGCCAATAATTTTTGACTGGGGGGGCACTCCAAGAATTTGGTAAGTGCTCAAAGACCACACTCTTCCATGATATTAATGGAGGAAGTGCAGGGTCTGGGATGGAGGTTAGGTGCAGAAGCGGGCTTGAGGTAAGGGATTGGGATGCAGGAGGGGGTATGGGATTTGGAAGGGAGTTTGGGTGAAGGAGAGGGTTGTGACCTGAGGCAGAGGACTGGGATGCAAGAGGGGGTGTACGGTCCAGGAGAAGATTGTGTCTTGGAGCAGAAGTGCAGGAGAGGATTTGAGTTGTGACTGGGGGGCAGGAGATTGGGGTGCAAGGTCTGGGAGGAGTTTGTGACCTGGAGAAGGAATGGAGGAGGAGATGCATAGTCTGGGAAGGCTTATGTATTCAGAAGCAGGGGTGTAGAAGGTTTGGGATACATAGGCTAGAGGTATAGAAGGGGGCAGAAGGCTGGGGGGAGGGAAGGGCTAGGGCACCAGAAGCTCTGGTGGGGGGAGGGGGTTGTTTATTGGGCGGCTCTTAGCCAGCAGCCCAGCAGGTTCCTCAGCCAGAGTTCCTGTCTTCCATGCCTCTACACAGGCTGCAGGAGTCACGTGTGGCTGACTGAATGCTGTGAGCTGGGCGTGGGGAGGAGTACTTTGTGTGCTGCCTGCCTGTCCTGCCAACAGGCAGCTCCCATTGGTCAGAAACTGGCTAATGGAAGCTGCAAGATATTGCTAGGGGCAGAGATAGTACACAAGCCTCTTTCCACTTGCTCTGGGCTTGCAGCATTCAGAGAGCTGCACTGTGCACCCAAGTGAGAAGGAGAGTATGATGTGAATCCAGGATACTCGACTGACTGCAGTCAAAAAGATTATGATAGTGGGCACAGCAAAAAGACAAACAAGTAACAGGATATAAAAAAAACTCAACAAAGATGAGTCAGACCTGGGACCAACCACCAACCAGATGGCAGGATTTTGTACACAGGAACATGACAGGATTGGGCTTAAGCAAAGAACAAATTGGGAATGAAAGGGGATGCTGCACTGCTCCCCAGGTCTGTAAACTTCCTTTGAGATGGAAGAGAGAATGAATATCTGACATTACTTCCTCTCTTACCTTCATTTCTGGAGATCTCAATGTCTGCAAAAAGACCAACTTTAATGATCTGCCACAAGAGACCCAATACCAAATGTGGTTTTCCTTCCTTTAGATCTTGTGATCCAATGTTGACCACTGTACAGCCAATAGCTGATGCAGAATTCAGGGCGAGATTTAGATTTTCCTAAGTGAAACATCAACATTAACTAAATTAGCCATTTAGTTTGTTAATTTTAAAACACCAATCACCACTTATTTCTTCTGTGAGTTTCTAAAGTTATAAAAACCAGTGCATTAGCAGAATACTCAGATTAGGTCTGTAATTCAGTAGAATGCAATACAAAATACTAGCAATGCTTAAAATCTCAGGAACTTATCCTGCAGATAAATCTGCTTGAGTGGACTGTTACTCCTGTTCAAAGCGCTAATGTTAGTGTCATTTCATGTGGGCCTAAATGTGTGTGTGTGTCATTTCTTTGCAATATTCAGCATTCAGTTTGTAACTGCATAGAAAGCATCAGAAGTCTGCAATTCACGTGTTGACAATGGAGCAAAACCCAATTGTAATTGCAATAGCATACTGCAGAAAAATCATCAAACTCTTACTAGCCCTTATGCCCCAGTCCCTTTTCATTTTCCTGTACTACACTACCCCAGACACATAGAAAACATGTACCAGGCAGCTTCACTGACACACATTTCTTTAAATAGCAGAGATTATAACATACACTAGGCTCTAAATCCTTCACCAAAGTATCATAATCTTTCTTATTTTAACTTCATGATAAGCAGTTAGAAATCCATTTTTCTTTTACAGGATTTTAATTGGCATTTTTTTCATTAGGTTGACAACTCACAGATTTATCTTTCTGCTACAGGCCTGTCTCCTCCTGTCCAAACTAAAATCTCATCATGTCTCTCTGACGTATTTTCATTGATGTCTAGCTGTCAGCTAAAGCTCAGCATGACTAAAACAGAGCTTCCAACCTTTCCCACTCATCCCTCCCAACTACACACACATCCTCTCTCAATTGCTGTGGATATCACTACTTACCTGCCACTTTGCCCTATTACCTGGACATCATCTTCAACTTGGTACTTTCACTGGGGTCTCTAGGCTGTGTCTAAATCTTGTATATTATTTTGCAATAATAGGCCTAGAATATGGCCTTTCCTTTCTATACAATCAGTTAAAACTCATCCAGGCTCTCATCTCATGTCTAGATTACTGTAACATCTTTTTTTCCCTGCAGTCTTGCCTTCATTATATCCATTCAGGATACTCTGCAAAGAGAATTCTCCTAGCCTATCCTTTGATCATCTTACCCCTTTCTTGAATGCCTCCATTAGTTCTCCTTCCCTATTGCATCAGGCATAAGCTGCTTTTTATTAATTTGAAGCACCCCTTTTGGCCAATCCCCAACCTACCCTGCATCAGGCATACGCTGCTTTTTATCAATCTGAAGCACCCCTTTTGGCCAATCCCCAACCTACCTATGTCTGATTCATTATGGAGCAGTTGATGCTAGTCTCCAGTAGATCCATGATGCCAGTCTCCACTGCCCCCCACTTCAAGTGTTGGAAATAAGTTTACCTACGCGTTTGCAGGTGCATCCACTCACATCTCCTGTTTACCGTGGTTTTCTGTTCCCAGAGAACGGGAGCTGCGGGAAGCACCACAGACCAGGCCACTGCTTCCCACAGCTCCCATTGGCCAAGAAATGCAAACCATGGCCAACAGGAACTGCAAGTGGTCATATCTGTGGACACAGGTAAATAAATAAGCCTGAGGTTGCTTGGCTCTGAGGGAGGGGGATTTGTTGGGGAGAGGGGTGCTGTCTGAGGTTGCTTGGCTCTGAGGGAGATGGATTTGGTTGGGGGGGGGGGGGGAACACTGGCTGAGGTTGCTTGGCTCTGAGAGAGAGGGATTTGGTTGGGGGGCACTTAGGGGTGCCTGGCTCTGGCATCAGCTGGTAGAAAACCTGACAGTCTCCAGCAGTAGCCCATGGTCAGGCAGACCAGGGCTAGATGGCATGGAGCAGGGCGGGGAGGCAGAGGAGTGTAAGGGCAGTCAATGGCAGAGGGAGAGCACAAGTCTGGGGTAGATCTTGGGAGGAAGAGGTAGCTCAGGAGCATTTTGTGGAGGAGGGACAGTGTGTGTGTGGGGCTTTGGACAAGAACATCAGGGTCAGGCATCATGGCTCCGGGTGCTTGTGCCCTCCCAACTCCACTTTTTGGGCACTTCTGTGACTCCACACTAGGAGAGCTGGGCCTGCCCAGGAGCAGTGCCCAGCCAAGACAAGGGACAGCACATGTTAAGGACCTAGAGTAAAGCAATGGCTTGGCTGGCAGGGAAGTGAGAAGAGCTTTGTCATTTGCGAGGCGTGGGGAGCCCTCTTCCCCAAATGCTGAATTTGCGAGTGACCCGCCGCCTGGCACCTGGTTCTCTGCCTGCTGACCTGCAGCCTCTCACCTGCCTGTCACTGGACCACCTTGCCTGATTTTATACAGACACAAAGTGCTGTCAAGCAACTGACCGGCACCACCTGCCCACTGGACCGGTACCAAGCCAACGTGACCAAGACAAGGCTAGTCCTTGCCAGCCCTAGCTCCGCCTATTGGTAGCACTCAGAGGACTTTCCCATGGAGGCCAGCATTGTTGCCATTTTACAGCTGGGGAAACTGAGGCACGGGGGGGGGGGCTGCAACATGCCTGAGGTCACATACCAGGCTGAACTAGAAACTCAGTTTCCAGTGGTTCAGGGGCTGGCTACACGGCTAGCGAAGATGTGACTGCAGCACAGGTCGGCATAACCTGGCTCGCTGTAATCTGGCTAATGTGGGGAACAACCCCAAGGTGGGGGGGCTTCAGCAATCACACCCTGGCTAGCTCATGCTGAGATCAATCCACCCCGATCAAAGGAGACAGTCCAGGGAGCTGCCTGCCGACGAAGCCCAACTATTGGCAACCCCAAGGTGGGGGGGCTTCAGCAATCACACCCTGGCTAGCTCATGCTGCGATCAATCCACCCCGATCAAAGGAGACAGTCCTGGGAGCTGCCTGCCGACGAAGCCCAAATCTTGGCAGCAAACCCACTGCCCCTGCTTCTTCCATTCGCTCAGCCCTGCCCCCAGCCCTGCCCCCAGGGGGGAAATGCTTCGAACCTAGCCAATTCACTCCCCTCATGCCATGACACCTGCCTAAAGGCACCACAAGGCAATCCTGGCACCCCACAGTGTGGGAGAGAACAAGGCCTGACCTGACGTCCAGTTCAAGGGATCCACTTGAGGGAGGGGCCTGGCACCAAATCCCACTGGTGCACAGGAGGCTACAGGGCCTCTCTAGGGGGTGCTGTCTCCAGTTCAGTCCCAGGGCAGGAGCACAGGTTGGCTCACAGAGGTATGGATGGGCTCTGGGGACCCGTTCCCTCTAGGGGACACCAGCCCCTATCTAACCCTATGTGGGCAGTATAGAATCACAGAATACTAGAGCTGGAAGGGGCCTCGAGAGGTCATCGAGTCCAGTCCCCTGCCTTCATGGCAGGACCAAGCACCCAGGGCTACTCAAAACACAGCTCATTGGCCACATGCTGCCCATTGGCCAGTTTGTTTGAGGTCCGCGGTGCAGTTTGGGTTTATGTGGGGACCAACATTCAGCTGGTGCATGGGAGCCAAAACAAAACAGTAGTCAATGTAATGATCTTCTGTTGAGATGCGTAGTTAAATTCTTGGACTGTCATTGCTTGTGAAAAATGTTGTCATATGGGTGGAAATCGGGTAAATGTTGCATTTTATTAATAGCAGAACTGACTTAAATGGGGCGTGTGTGTTGTGTAGTCTTGCCTTAAGATTTGTATTCACGCCCATCAGTGTGAAAGAAGGTATTTGCATATATATTTGCTCGTATATGGGTATATCTACACAGCAAAGTTATTTCGAAATAACTTTCCTAGCATCTATACAAGCCAACTGCTATTTCAAAATTAATTCAAAATAGAGGGCTTATTTCGAATTGGTAAACCTCATTCCACGAGGAATAGCGCCAATTTTGAAATTGCTATTTCGAAATAAGCGTTGTGTAGATGCTTATTTCGAAATAGGGGGCCCCGCTGGCCGCCCTGGCTACAAGGTAACTTCTGACCTGATGCCCTGCCTGAACCAGTTCAGCTGGCCTTAAATGCGATTCAGCATCCAATCAGTGTGGACACACTATTTTGAAATGCATTTTGTGTGTAGACGCACAATAAATAAATAAGGGTATGTCTACACTACCCTCCTAATTTGAACTAGGAGGGTAATGTAGGCATACCGCACTTGCAAATGAAGCCCGGGATTTGAATTTCCCGGGCTTCATTTGCATAAAGCCGGCCGGCGCCATTTTTAAATGCC